AGTACCACGAGCACAACAGTTCGCCGAAATATTACAAGCAGCATGCAATAAAAAAATCGAACATCATCGCTAAACGCAACGCCGACCGCCACCGCAGACCTGTCACTTACCAGCCCGACGACTTAGTTTTACTTGACACTCAGAACCTCCGACTGCCCATCACCCCGAAACTCCGCCCCCGATACTGCGGGCCATTTCGCATAAGCCACATGCTTAAACCCGTCACCGCCCACCTCCTCCTCCCTGCTGACTGGTACGTCAGCCCCTCATTCCACGTCAGCCTACTTCGCCCTTACGTCCCGTCCACGAGCCAACTGCCACGTAATCGCCCAGCCAGCATGGCAAGACCACCTACCGAACCAATCGTCACCCCCGAGAAAATCATGAGTCACAGAGTTCGCGACCCTCGAGGAGCCCGAAGGATCGAGTTCTTACTCCGCTGGAAGGACCGTACACCCACCGAAGACAATTGGGTTCCCCTGGACAGAATCGAAAACCACCCCGTCCTCACCGAGTATCTACGCAGCTGAAATTTCAGGGATGTACACGCACTTACGTAAGGAGGACCTCCTTAGGGGGGGAGGTAGTGTAAGGAAAATTCCTTTTCCTTACTTCACATCCCTGCTCAACGCGTACATCACTGTAGCACCACAGTCAGCACCGTTACCACTCGCAACCCGCACATCACACTCCAACCTCACGACTCGGCGGGTAACTCGCGCTCCGGGCCTCCACTTCGACACTTTTTCCCAACCTCAGTCCCAGGCCCGTCGCGCGACAACCACAGTCCATTACAGTCACCACTGTAGTTTCGCCATATATTCTACGCTCATGCCTTCGCTCATTATACTCTTGCTTCGATAGTGCAATTCTCGTTCGTTCACTCAATTGCACTCGTAACAATGGTACAGAGGTGCGGTGCTCTGCTCTACTACCTACACTGGAGCTTGCACTCCGTAAATACACTAAGGCTAATATCTACATGACAATCTCAGGCTTGAGAATGTTGGCCTTGATCTCCTTGTGCGGCAGCACCACGCCCCCATTGGCGTACACCTCATCCTGAATGTGCACATCCTCCCCCAGCACTGTCATGTTCTCCAGCCGCGCCCACTGCCCCACCGTCGAATGCCACCTGGTGGGGTTGCATGGGATGCATGGGATCTAGGGTGATGAATGTGAATGAGAGTGCAGCAGGGATGGAATGTGAGGTTGGGTGGGAGCAGCAGTGTGCCATGTGCATGGTGTGTGTGGGCACAGGCAGCAGCGTGGCTTTTATGGCTTTATGCAGATGTGTGAAAGTGGTGCATTCATGTGTGCAACTGTTTCAACTGCTGCAACCACTGCGCTTGCCCTGCCGCATTCCGTGCATGATGTGCCTGCCTTCCACATCATCAACCCATGTTAGTATGTGCAATTGCCCTGTGCACACCACAGTCGCACCACCAAATCACCAACACTCCCCCAGCGCACGACGCACGACCCAGCAGTACCCAGCAGCACCGCACCAATACGCCCACCACCTCCTCAAGCACTCATCCACCCAGGAGCAGCTCACCCGACGATGCTGCCGGTGATGCAGGCGTGTTTGCTGATGCGCACACCGCGCATGATGGTGCAGCGCGCCAGCCGCACGCCGTCAGCGATCACACAGCCCGGGCCAATGGACACGTCGGGGCCGATCAGACAGCCCTCGCCGATGGTGGCCGTTGGGTCCACCAGCACGTTGCCCACTATGTGCTTTCCTGTTGCTAGCTGCTCGGGACTGAGTGGCAGCACGCGGAAAAAATGGAAACGAGGGAGAGAGGGGCAATGCGAGGGTTAGGAACGAGCAAGCGCAGGGTAGATGGATGCGAGTGGATACAAACGCTAGCGAACAGCGTGCAGCAGGAGAGCAGGAGAGCCGGAGAGCCGGAGAGTCGCAGGGCGACAAGAGGTGCTGCTACAGCCCATGCATGCACCATGCACTGCGGAAGGTGCTGCTGCTAGCCGCTGCTCTAGAGCGCCACAGCTTACCCCACTGCCATGCCACTGCCTAAGGCCACCTGCACACCACACTGCGCGCGCTACAGGTGCCTTCCATACCGGACCAGCGGCTTTGGGTCCCATTCGGGCTACGAGAGTCATACTGGCATGCCGCGATAGCTGAGCTACGGGGCCAGGAGCGGTGGTTCAAAAACTATCCGGAAGCAGCAACGAGGCTAGCTTGCGTCTAACCAACAGCGTGTTAGTGAGCCTGGTCAGTGCCTTGCGCGCAGGAGATCAAGATTAGCTTCCTGGCAACGGCGCACCCACTCGAATTCGACCCGCGTACGCAACACTCGCCTCGCGGCGGCGTGCACCCACGCGCCCTCCACCCGCCCCACGCGCACTGGCTTCGCACTCACTGGTTGTGGCGCAGCGACTCGAGGTAGAGCCTGAGCCCGCTGTTGTAATCGCGCGGCTGGCCGACGTCCATCCAGAAGCCCGGCAGCACCATGGCGAACAGCTTGCTCTCCGCCGCGATCTTCGGAAACACCTCCTTCTCGATGGACGTGGGGCGCAGCTCGATGCGGTCCAGCACGCGCGCGTCCAGCAGGTAGATGCCCGCGTTGATCTTGTTCCCCACAAACACCTTAGGCTTCTCCACGAAGCGCTGCACGCATGACGTCGCCTCGTCTACCACCACCACTCCGTACTTGGACGGCTCCTCCACCTGCGCGGGGGAAACGGAGAGGGGAGCGATGGGTGGGAAAAATTGGGGGGAGGAGAGGGGGAAGGAGGGGAGGTTGCAGCGGAAGGGGAAAGAGGAGTTCGAGTTTGTGATGAGCAGCGCGCAACAGTGCCAGAGGGATTTGGGAAGAATGTTGTGTTAGGGATCAGGGGAAAGGCGAACGCCCCAGCCGTCTGATATTTAAAACAATTCGCGGCGATTCTAAGGAAATTTGTGAGACGCGACTGATTCGTTCGCTAGCATCGTAGCATCGGCTGTAACGAGCAGTATACGGTGCGCAGCGACTGACCTTGGTGACCATGATGGTGCACTCGCCGCCGTGCTTCTTGTGGAAGTCGAGCATCTGCGAGAGCGGGTACTCGCTGATGACGTCACTGTTGAGCACGAAGAAAGGGTCGCCCGAGCCGTCGTCGAGGATGTGTCTGGCGAGCGCGAGCGGGCCCGCCGTGCCCATCGGCTCCTTCTCCTGCGAGCACACGATGCGGATGCCCACCTTCGCCTCGTACTCCTTGATGAACGTCATCATCACCTGCCACGTCACGACCGCATCGCATCGCATCGCGCGGGGGTTGTGCGGGAGGATGCACGTTGAATATTGATTGGAATGATAAGATTAATAGGCACGAACGGAAATCGGTTAATTTTCGGTATTTTCACTTGTTATCTGATTTGTTAAGCGGATTCGCGAAGGATCAGCGAGAAAGATGGCGCGAGAGAGGCGAGGGGGCGGCGTACCTCGGGTTGGTAGTTGATGGCGAGAACGACCTCGTCCACCCCCGCTGCCTTGAGCGCCTCGATCTGGTGGAGGATCATGGGCTTGTTCGCGAAGTCGACCAGCGGCTTGGGTACGCTGAGAGTGAGCGGCCGCAGCCGCGTGCCGAAACCGCCGACGAGAATGAGAGCCTTCATGCTGGCGTGCTGCTGTGTGGTGGCCGATAAGCTCGGTGCGCGGCGATACAGTCGCAGTTACAGGGAAGAAAAGGAGCAACAGTAGGAAACTACGGCGTGGAAGAGCGATAGGAAACTGCGACTGGGCAAAGGAAAATTGATAATTTCAAAGAGAGTTTGGGAAAAGTGTGAGGTTGTCCGGTGGATAAGTACTGATCCGTGCAACTAACTACTCCTGGTAAATCCCAACCAACTAACGGTCGCCTGAGAGGCTACGCTTGACGGGAAAGATGCTTGAAACGCGGATGAACGGTTGTCCTGCTGCTGCTTGTGCAGTGGGGCAAAGAACCAACGTCGCTGATTGTTCCGTTGCCACGTGCTATCGAAGCAATCCCGCTGGCCACGGGTTCAGGGGGACTGTGCTGAGCTGATGTCATCAAAGTCCAGGTGGCCACCAGCACCTGGAACTTCACCACAAGATGTTGTCTCCGTGGGCTGCTGCCGATTGGAGGAATGAGTGTAGGCCGAGAGTAGTTAGGGAGCAGACGTGGCCGCTGCGCGTCCAGGTGTTGACGGTCATAACTGTTTCAACCCTGTGTTCCGTCAACAAAGCGGTGCGGTTCAGGTAACACAAAGCACCTGCGGCTTGGTGACGGGAGAATACGCCCCCTCCATTCTGTACGCTACATGGAGCGAATGGGCTGTGGAGATAGGAGACGTCATAATTTTACGAGATGTTCATACAAGCTACCAAACCGTATCTAGATGTACTTTAGCGAGATGTGACTACATGAAGGTTCAGCGCCTGCTTTGCCGTACCTGTTGCCGTGGTTGGGGAATTCGGTGCGCCGTGTGGCATGGAATTTCCAAGAGCGACGCGACACGGTGAAGTATTCTGAATGATTTTACAGTATTCTTACCCTTACTTTCGGTCAGCACACAACAGCCCCCATACCAGAAAATGGCTCAATCCAAACCAAGAAGGCATCCAATCCAACCCCAGCATACATGTGATGGGTATGTGGATTCAAAAGAAAATCTGCCCGAATGGCTAATTCCTTGACAATGCAGCTCCCTTCTACTCGCCTCCCACTGGGAACAGGGTGGTCCAAGACTTTCAAACGACCAGCTGAGACTAAAGCGCGGAATTTAGTCTGTAGTCTCGCAAGCTGCACTAGTTCTGATACTACAGACAATTCGCTTTAGATGACGTTCGTGTACATCCAGTTGTGCTCGTTCTAACTCAAATTCCGCAATTTCAGCTAAGAAATGACGCACCCTCGATTAAGCAGCCAATTCAAGCGAGCAGCATATTCGTCCTAAATTCACGTGGACTGACTAGCTCTTGTCACGGAACTCGAATCTTAGCTTCCATCAGTTCGCCTCACCTCGTCTTTCCATGGCGTCCCTACCCCGCCACGGCTGCCTGTTCCTCCTCCCGCTCCTCCTTTCCTTCGCATCCCCTTCCCTCCCGCACCCCTCCTCTCTCCCACGTTCGCCGTCGTCGTCCGACCCATGGCGTACCCCTCGTCGCCGCGCGACTCTTAACGACGACGTGCGACGGTCTGCGATTCAGAGCGAGTACCCGAATCTCATGAAGTCGGCGACAGCGTTGTACCCCAACAGCGTCGTCGGCCCCTACGACTGGACGTACTTCCCTGGTACGCCGCTACGACTGACTGTACTTCCGTTATTACAACAGGGATTCGACTCTGCGCATCCGTTGTTACGGATGGGCTGCTGACCTGGATTGATGCTCTGTGGTGCCGCTGGTGCCCCATCCCATCGTCCCTTTGCCCACATCCCTAGGCCTCTTTTCCCCCCATCACCCCTCCCCATTTCCCCTTCCCGTTCCCTCCCCTCTCTCCCCCTCCCCCTCCCCATCCCTCTCCTCCTCCAAACACACAACCGCCTTGCGCCGTGCGGGGAGCAGCGGAGGTGCCGGAGGGCGCGCTGATCGTGAGGTTCGAGTTCCGCAAGCTGTGGGCCTCACAAGCGGTAAGCTGGGGGCGCGCAGAGGGTAAGCTGGGGGCGCGCAGAGGGTAAGCTGGGGGCAGCCTTCCCCTGATGCTCCAATTCCGCTTCACTGTTTCGTTTCCCCACGCCAACACTCTCTCTCGCACCACCTCCTTGTTCCCATCTCGGTTCTATACACCCCTCGTCCCCCCATCTCCTCCCCTTCCCCGCCCTAAACGCCCACCACGCCCATCCACCAGGACGAGGTGCCTGCACACGCTGCAGGTAACACGGACGCAGCGGGGGAGTCACAGCAAGCAGGCAGCAGCAGCAGCAGCAGCAGCGCGGAGGCAGGGGCAGCGGCATCGGGTGGTCCCTTGGTGTGCTTCGCGCTGGGCTCGCTGCCGCTGCCATCGGACCACGAGCCACAATGTGCGTGCTGCCCACCCCTCCTCACACCTGCCCCCTGCCCCCTGCCGCCTGCCGTCGCTAGGTGCTGCAGATTCCTCTCGCTACAGCTGCCGCTGTTCTCCCCTCACGCGCCCACACGCTCTCTGGGTCTACCAGGCATCACACATTGCCCCCTCCATTGCACTTCGCTCTGTCTTTTCCCCCCCAGCGCCATGCCCTCGCTCCTCCCTCTCACACCCTCCTGCAGCACAATTCTCCATCTGTCAATCCATTGCTCCAGCTGTCAATCCCTTGCTCCATCTGTCAATCCATTGCTCCAGCTGTCAATCCCTTGCTCCATCTGTCAATCCCTTGCTCCATCTGTCAATCCCTTGCTCCATCTGTCAATCCCTTGCTCCAGCTGTCAATCCCTTGCTCCAGCTGTCAATCCCTTGCTCCAGCTGTCAATCCCTTGCTCCATCTGTCAATCCCTTGCTCCAGCTGTCAATCCCTTGCTCCAGCTGTCAATCCCTTGCTCCAGCTGTCAATCCCTTGCTCCATCTGTCAATCCCTTGCTCCAGCTGTCAATCCCTTGCTCCAGCTGTCAATCCCTTGCTCCAGCTGTCAATCCCTTGCTCCAGCTGTCAATCCCTTGCTCCAGCTGTCAATCCCTTGCTCCAGCTGTCAATCCCTTGCTCCATCCCTTTTCGCCAATCTCTTGGTGACATCCTCCTCACAGAAACGCATGTCACGTTCTGGGTGCCGCGTGCTGCCCCGTTGCTCTCTTGTGCGCTCACTTCTCATTCTTACTGCCAGTCTGCGTCTGCTTAATCCCTCCCACTTTCTCCCCAACCCCATGCTCCACCTCCCCACCCTCCCGATCATCCCCTCCCCCCTCCCCCTTTTGCTGCTGCAGACGAGTCACTGGAGGCAGCAGCCAAGGCGGCGGGGGGAGCGCTTTCCCCCTTTGGGGGGGCCATGGGCGCAGTCACAGTGGAGTGCGGGCAGGAGCAGGGGGATGGCCCGGGGGCAGGGGGAGGCGCAGGGGCGGGGAAGGGTGGGGGAGGGCAGATGGTAGACGCATCTGCTGCAGCTGCAATCGCGGCTATGGTGGGGGAAGGGTGGGGGGGCGGCGGTGGTAAGGGGAATGGCACAGTGGGGGAAGGAGGGTCGGGGTTGGGGGGTAAGAGAGGGGGAGGGGCGGGGCAGTCGCACTGTGCCTTGTTCCACTCCACCGCTGTCTTCAGCCTTCCCGCCGACCAGGTGAGCCCGTGAGGCCAGGGCAGGCAGGCTGGGAGGCGGCAGGGCATTGAGAATGGTGGTTGGACGCATGCGAGCTATGCTGTGCCCTCTCATGTACTGCGCATGGTCTGTGTTGTGCCCCTTCTCTTCATTACCCTTCCTTTCGCAACCCAGCTCCTCACTATTTGCTACTCTTCCCATTGTTCCTCTCATTCCCCCACTCCCACACCACACCCCCCAACGCTCCCACCCCCCTTCCCAAACCCCATCTCCGTCACCCATCTCCCTCACCCCGCAGCAACCGGTGGCGGGTGTGTGGAACGTGGGGGTGTTGAGCGAGTGGGGTCCAGCACGCACGCAGTCCCAGATGGTGCTGCGGGGGGGCATCCCTCCCATTGTCTTCTCATCCCCTCCCCCCACCTCTCAAGCCCCCCCAACTCCCTCACCCCTCCCATCCCACGTGCTCGCAGCAACCGGTAGCAGGCGTGTGGAACGTGGGGGTGTTCAGCGAGTGGGGGGCGGCGCGCACGCAGTCCAAGATGGTGCTGCGGGGGACATCGCACACCTTCGACCTCGCCCTCACCGCCTTCTCCTGCTTCAACGCGCCGCTGCTCTCCGGCCGCTTCTGCAATGACTCGCGCACGCCGCTGCCCCTGCACCCCCTCTCCTCCCACACGTTTCTCCCTGCTCGCCCTCCTGTGACACCGCAAGCAGCCAATGCTTCGTCTGGAAACGACTCCTCCTCCCCCCCCGCCCCATCCCCATCTCCATCCCCCTCCTCCTCCCCCTCCCCCTCCCCCCCCCTCCCCCTCCCCATCCCCCTCCGACCCCTCGTCCCACCATCACGATGCATTCACAGCACCGGGCATGGACGCCCTGTACGGGGGCTCTCTCACTCACCAGTGCCTGCGCGCCTCCTCTCCCCCGCTCCTCTTCACCCTCGCCATCCCCCAGCCCCTGCCCAAGCTCCTCATCTCCATCTACCCCGAACCACCCTCCTCCTCCTCTGCCTCCTCCGCCTCCCCCCTCCCGTCCTGGCTCACGGGTCACGCCCGCTCCGCCAACGCCTCTCCCTCCGTGCAGCTGCGCCGCATGGCTCTCCTCGGCCCGTCGAATCGCGGCGCGCCAGCTGGACCCTCCTTTTCCGTGCAGCCGCGTTCAGAGACCGAGGAGCAAGCAGGCAGCAGCAACAGCGGCGATGTTAGGGGCAATGGAGGGCAGGAGGGGAGGGGGGGAGCGGAGGGGGGGGCGGGGGTGGACGTGTGGTGGAGCGAGGGGCGCATGGACATTGGCAGCTGGCAGGCCGTGGCTGACCCGGGCTCCTGGCACCTGCTGCTCTCCCACCCTGCCAGCAGCGCTGCGCGGAGTGGGTCCGGTAATGGCAGCACAGCTAGCAACAGCAGCAGCAGCAGCATTGGTGTCAACGGTAGTACCAGTGTTAGCAGTGGTGGTGGTGGCAGTGGTGGTAGGGAGGGGGGAGATGGAGGGTGGTGGGCGTCGCTGTGGGGGGGGTCGTGGGCGCACGGGCAGCAGGGGGGGGCTGCGGATGAGGGAGAAGGGGGCGGAGAGGTGTGTGTGAGCATCCAATGGAAGGCTGCCACGTGTTTCCCCCGCCTCACTGGGTCTCAGTGCCAGTGGCCGCTCATTCCCCTCGAGGTGAGGCTAGAGGCGAGTGAGAGGTAGGGGAGGGAGAGGGGAGGTGGAGGGACAGGGGACGTGTGAGGAGGGTTGGTGGGTGAGAGGAGGGTGGGAGGGATTTGAAAGCAATGCAGGAAGGAGCCTGCTCCTCTCACACCCAATGCAGTGCGGTGAAGTGCGGTGGAGATGGATGACTCGTATTGCATGCCTCCCACACCCACCATGCTCCTTCTACTCTTGTTAAACCTGTACCCTTCCTCCCGCACCCCTCTCACCTCCCACCCCTCTCTTTGTGCCGTTCTGCCCTCTGCCTCTCCCTCACACCCATCGCCCCCGCACCCCCACTCCCCACCCAACTTGGCCCATCACCCCTTCTGCATGCCCGTGCCCTTTCCCCCCAATCCCACCAGCCGCACCTGCTCTCATGGTCGTACGAGTCAGGCCTTGACGCAGCCTACCTGCCCCCCGCCTCGCCTGCCCCGCCCTCCCTGTGGGCGTCGTGGTTCCCCGTGCCCGTTGCCGCCTCGCCCTCCCCTGCGCGCCCCTCCTGGGCCTTCCTCTCGCTCGCTCCGCCCTTTGGGGCGCGCGGGGGCGTTCTCTCCATCCACCTGCGCCTCCGCCCGCTCAGGCAGGGCCCAGGGGCGGACGGGGATGGGGAAGGGCAAGGGGGAGAGGCGGAGAGTGGAGGCAGTGGCAACAACAGCAGTGCAGGGGGGGTGGCAGTGGGGTCATCCGGTGCAGCTCCGACGGCGTTTGTGTATCTGCTCGTGCGTGCCGGTGGCCTGCCGTCCCTCACACGCTTTGATGCCTCCGCTGTCGCACCGGCCACAGATATGGGTGAGTGGGTGGTTGGGAGATGGGTAGGTTTGAGATGGGTGGGTGGGTGGGTAGGTGGGTGGGATGGAGGGTGCCTCTGCTCGGTGTTCCTCTCCTCATCCCCGGACAACTTAACCTCTTTCCCCCCTCATTCTCCACTCCTCCCCCCGTCCCCTCCCCCACCATCCCATCCCACCCCTTTCCCCCACCACTGACCTCACCTTCCCCCACCTCTCTCCGCTCCTCACCCTCCCTTCTCCCCCCCCACTCCCCCGGTGCAGCGGCCAGGGGCGGGCAGCTGTCGTTGGAGCTCATCCACCCCGCGGAGGTCACCACCTTCGTGGCCGTGGGGCTGGACGCTGCCGCGCCTCGCACAAGCGAGGGGGGCAAGGAAGAGAGTGACGAAGAGGGGGAGGGGGAGGGGGGCGACGGGGAGTGGGCGTGGGAGTGGGAGGTGCGGGTGGTGCAGCATGGGTGTCCCAACGGCTGCTCGGGCAGTCCCTGCCACGTCATGGCAGACGGCGCCTTCCAATTCGGTGTCTAGTATGTGTTATCACCCTCACTCCCTCCACTCCCCCCAGTCACCTTCTCCCCGCCTCCTCGCTTTTCCACTTTCTCGTTCACTCGCCTTGCATGCGCTATCACCCTCCGCTGCCCGGAATTGCAAGTTTCAACACTGCTGTTGTTTGTGCCTCTGTCGTGCAACTCTCCTCGACCCACTCACCCCTCCCCCACAGCTACTGCTTCTGCGATCGGTCGCACGGGGGGGTGGACTGCTCCATTGAGACCGTCTCACAGCTAGGTGCGTGCTGCCAGGTGGAACACAACGCACAGGTGACAGCACCTTCTCTGTGGTGTTTAACAGACATCGCCACCATGTGCTCACCACACATCACCGCCATGTGCTCACCACACATCACCGCCATGTGCTCACCACACATCACCGCCATGTGCTCACCACACATCACCGCCATGTGCTCACCACACATCACCGCCATGTGCTCACCACACATCACGGCCATGTGCTCACCACACATCACCGCCATGTGCTCACCACACATCACCGCCATGTGCTCACCACACATCACCGCCATGTGCTCACCACACATCACCGCCATGTGCTCACCACACATCACCGCCGCCATGTGCTCACCACACATCACCGCCATGTGCTCACCACACATCACCGCCATGTGCTCACCACACATCACCGCCTCACGATGTTAACGTGCTGCCCCTCTCCTCTCCCACTTCCTCCTTCTCCCGCGTCTCCTCTCGTCTCTCCCGCGTCTCCTCTCGTCTCTCCCGCGTCGCCTCTCGTCTCTCCCACTTACCCTGGGCTTCCTTCTCTCACTCATAAGACCCGCAATCCCAAATGGGACTGTCTAAAACTGCAGCTGCGCGCCCTTTCCACCTCTTGCCTTTCCACCTCTTGCCCTTTCCACCTCTTGCCCTTTCCACCTCTTGCCCTTTCCGCCTCTTGCCTTTCCACCTCTGATTATCTCCCTCGTTTTCTCTCGCCCTCTTCCAAGCGCCCACCATCCGTCGCCCGTGCCGTGCCCCACTGCCCGTGTGACTGGCAGGCATAGAGCAGCAGCGCTGGGCGCTGGTGGGGAGCAACGTGGTGGCTGTGCTGCCAGCCATGGTTTCGCTGTACCTTGGAGTAAGTCAAGGGGGAAAGGATGGTGTCGTGTCGCTGTGTCTGGGGGAAAGGCATGGTGGTCTGAGCTCATGCTTTCTCACACCACTCTGCATCGCTCCGTCCCTCCGGACACCCACCCTCACCACTGTATCCCTTTCATCCGCTCCCCCTCACCACACTCCCGCATCTCCCTCCCACGCCCACCCATCCACTGACTGACTCTCTACCAGGCATACCCCGAGTGGGTGATGTTCTCGCTCAACGGGCTCTGCAGCGCCCTCTACCACCTGTGTGACACGGACGGCTGGTGCGCTGCGCGCTACCCCACGCTGCAGTTCGCCGACTTCTACTCGTCCTTCCTGGCCGTGCTGCTGGCCTTCCTGCACGTGGCCCAAGTGCCCATCTGGCCGCGCTTCCTCTTCTTCGTCCTCGCCTCCTTCTCCACCGCTGTCATGGCTGTCGACCGCGCCACCAGGTGAGCCACCAGGTGAGGCGCCAGGCGAGGCGCCAGGAGAGGCGCCAGGTGAGGCGCCAGGCGAGCCATCAGGTGAGCCATCAGGTGAGCCATCAGGTGAGCCATCAGCTCACCCATCAGGCGAGCCATCAGGTGGGCTTAGAGGGCTCACACGGGCAACCCACCCGTTAAGCCACCAGGTGAGCCAGTGGGCAAGCCAAAGTCAAGAGGGTCAAGCCACAGTGTGAGGCGTGCGGGTGGTGAGGGCAGGGAGGTGCAGTGCGGGGCGGTGGGGCTCTGGTCTGATCTGATCTCATCTCACGCGCCACAAGCGGCGCCTCACGCCCTCACGCTCCTCCAACGCCTTCCACCTTGCCGGCCGTGTGCCCTCGCTCTCACTTGCCTGCCTGCCAAGGGACGAGAGGACGCCCTTTATTTTCCTACCGGGCTTATCAACCCCACGCCACGCAGCAAGGTAGCTCAGCTGATTCTCTCAACATTTCCTTCCTCCCTCAACAGCCAGCCGTCCTCCCTGTACTGCCAGCCGTCCTCCCTCTACTGCCTGCCTTGCCTTCTTCGTCGCCCGAATTCATCTTCCCCGTGTGTGCCCCCCCCGAAAACCATCATGGGCAGTGGGTGGAGCATCGTGGTGCTGCTGGCGCTGGGAGCAGCGGCGCTCATCACCGGCTGGTTCATTCGCCTCGCTGCTCTGCGCCGCTCCTCCTCCGCCTCCTCCTCCGCCGCCCCTCATGCCCCCCACACGCCTCTCGAGGCGGCAAGCTGCGCTGTGCAGTCCGCGGAAGAGCAAGGGGGCTCCCGGCATGGGCACGTGGAGGAGGAGGGCGCGTCTCTGCTGCCGCCCCCTTGCAGCAGTGACGGGGAGTGGCCATGTGGGGTCACGAGGGAAAGTAAAGCGGGGCAGCACGCATCGGTGTGGAGAAGAATGTTCCAATGGTGTGTGTGTGGTGGTGATGCCATGGCATTGACTGCATGGCATGGACTGCATGGCATTGCATGCAGTGGGCGGTGGTATCAGAGCAGTGGCACAATCAAAGTGCCTTTCGCTGCCTCACGTGCTTCCGCATCTGCTGCCTGTCCCTTGCCCACATGCATATCTTCGTCCCTTGCCCACATGCATATCTTCGTCCCTTGCCCACATGCATATCTTCGTCCCTTGCCCACATGCATATCTTCGTCCCTTGCCCACATGCATATCTTCGTCCCTTGCCATCATGCATATCTTCGTCCCTTGCCCACATGCATATCTTCGTCCCTTGCCCACATGCATATCTTCGTCCCTTGCCCACATGCATATCTTCGTCCCTTGCCCACATGCATATCTTTTTCCCCTTTCACGTCTCTTCATCGCACTCCAATCATGCCTCAACCAAGAGCTTTTCCCGCACACGTCCTCTCTACGTACTCTCGCCCCCACCAGGTGCCGTGCACAGGTGGCAGTGGTGCTGCGTGTGCTGCTGGCGCTGCTGGCCACGTTCCACGTGCCGTCGCTGCTGCTGGGCGCCCTGGCGGCGCTGCTGGCGGCCTCCAGCTTCCTCGTGGAGGTGCCCGCCACCTACTGGATCTGGCACAGGTGGGGGGGGGAAAGGGGAGTGGGAGGTGGCGTGGGGGAATGGGACGTAGATGGGGGAGCCTGAAGCACTTTTGAGACGTCTCAAAAGTCGTAGATGGGGGAGGCTGAAGCATGTGCGGTGGGTGTGTGTGAACGTGGGCAGGTGGGCGGGATGTGGATATGCATGCGTATCTGTGTGCATGTCTGTGTGCATGTCTGTGTGCATGTCTGTGTGCATGTCTGTGTGCATGTCTGCGTGCATGTCTGTGTGCGTGTCTGTGTGTGCATGTGGGTGAGCATGCACTCGTGCGGAAGTACATCGACAGCGGCAGAAGAGGAGGGGAGCAAGGAGAGGATGGGAAAACACTTCGCTTTCTTACATTCTTCATCAAATTCTCCGCATACGAAAAGCACTTGCTACTGCTCTGAACTCCATCTGTCCACCGTGGCTACAACAGCCCAGCCGTTCTCCACTTTCCGACCCACGTTTCTCTGCTCTCTTCCCTTCCCTCCCTCCCCTTTCCTCCCTCCCCTTTCACTCAAACCCGTTGGTGACTTTCTCACTCTAATATCTCCCCAATCCACTGCAGTGTGTGGCACGTGTGCATATACTCAGCTGCCTTCTTCTTCATGCTCGCCTCGCCACCGCCCAACAAGCACGGCTCCTTGCCGCTTGCTCTGTCCCCACGCTCACCACCACCAAAACGGCATGGCTCGTTCCGCTCCCATAGGAACAGCGATGATGTGAGTGTTGCTGGCAGCAGCAGTGGCGATGGCAGTAGCGAAGGCGGCTGGCCCATGGGGAAGAGAGTTGCTGGTTGCTCGGTTGGGAGAGAAGTAGAAGTGGACGAGGAGAGAGGCCTCTTGTTGATTCGTGATGATTCATAACTCCAGTTTAGTTTAAAGCACATTCTTGAAATAAGGGGTAGCCAGTGGAAGCAGTAGTTAGCCGTACGCCCACCTGTCCACCCACTGGGTTGAGCCTTGGCAAGGAAATAAGGGGTGGGTGCGTGCACCCATGTGTTGCATATTCAAATGACTCATGGTTATTCCTAGCAATGCTGCGTGGGCAAGTTCAGTCAGTGCACAGCACGACCAAGAGTTCAGATCGGAGGACGAGTTCAGAGTTCGAGGTTGTAAGATTACCGTGCCTCAAATTGGTGGTGAAACTCCAATAAAACTCAACTGTTTCCAGCAATTTTGAGGTGGGTTTATGAGATTCTCCTGCATAGGACTTCGCTTAGCACCTCGATTAAAAAGATTTTTGGTGTTGCTTTTCATTGTCTTACAATGCGTGCCTTTGGCCCAACACCTAAGAGCTGCGAGCAGTATTTCACGGAGAAGAAGGAGCATCTCTCGACCGTGACACGCGGTTCTTGAATGCACGCCATGAGGTGGAATCCGAGGTGGTGCAGGGCAGTGATGGTGGCGTTGCGGTCCAGTGGGGCCACCGCATCTGGCAAGGCAAGCAGCAGCTGGCAGGTGGGCAGTGAGGCGTTTTGCTTCTGCCAGTCGAAGATGAGTGGCAGGTCAGCGCCTGTGAGTGACAGCTGCAGGTAGCAGTGGATGGCGTGGGGGATGTGGAATGGAGTGAGGAGAGGATGCAAACAGAACGGTAAGAGTAGGACAAGGGCATGGAGGGTGGGAAGGGAGGCGAGAAGGAAGAGTAGGTGGGATGCATTTGGAGAGTGACGGGTGCACAGGAATAGGGCACAGCGGGCAGGGAAGCCAAGGGGCAGGCAGAGAGCATGGAAAGCAGGGCAGGCAGAGAGCATGGAAAGCAGGGCAGGCAGAGAGCATGGAAAGCAGGGCAGCAGCGGTGGGCACCTTGAGTGTGTGGGCGGTGGAGGAGGCATGTGTGACGGCAGCAGGGAGAGCAGAGATGTGGAGGCCAGGCGCATGGCGCCGCATGCTCCACTCCCACGAGCCCTTCGCATGTGCGGCTCCCGGTGTGGTTGTCATGACCAGGCTAGCGGGTGAGGTGAGGGCAGGGCACAGAGGGGCAGGACACGCAGCACAGTCGTTGTGAGTGGGCTGTGGCACTTGGAGGCCACGGGCTGGCTGCAAACAGGGAACGTGTGAGTGGCACGCACCTGGTGCGGTTGACCCCGTGCAGCGCGGTGTAGAAGCACTGGCCAGGCGGCCCCAGCAGCTGCACCTCCCCCAGCTGCGACCGGAAGCACAGCACCGCCTCTGCTGGCGCCTGCCACTCCTCCGCATGCCGCCGCAGCTGGCACGACCCATGGGGGATGGGGAGAGGAGAGAGAGAGAGAGGCAGGTGGCACCAGGCATGGAGGCCAAGCAGAGCAGAGGAGCATGCAGACAAGGCGAGAGCTTCGCAAATCTACAGGGTGACTGGAGCTTCACAGGGCGAGTGCGGTCAGCACACGCATTCCCATACCTTCCTGAAGTTGCGTGCGCAGCCGCGCAGGGTGACATGCATGATGGAGTGGCGCTCCCTCGCCAGCCGTGGCCCGGCAGCGGCGTCAAACAGGGCGGCCGCCACGTGGGGGGCGGGCCACGGCTTGGCGGCGTCGCACAGCGCAAAGTCGGTGCGGTTGGCGAATGAGGGCGAGCGGTGCGGACCGAAGCGCGAGCCCTCCAGGTACCACCGCCGGATGCGCAGATTGGCCTGCCGCATGGATGCATGCAGTGATGTGCAGTGATGTGCGGTGATGTGCGGTGATGTGCAGTGATGTGCAGTCATGCAGTCATGCAGAGTTAGGTGTGGGAGAGCAGATGGCGTAGTGCCCTAAGAAGCACACTAGGAATGTGCACGTGCATGTGAGCGGCTGCTTGCCCCACGCACTGAGCCCCCTGCTATGTGCTCGTGGCAGCGGGCCTCACCTCGGCACCTTTGATCTTGGGGTAGCAGGGCCGGCACTTGGCGCCGTTGAGGGGCGTGGACGTGTTGAGCGAGAGCACGGGCATGGCGTGGTGCCGGTACACTCGCCGGCTCACCACACAGAACGCCAGGTCCGCCCGTGCTACTGGCACCCCTGCCAGTGCCAGCTGCGCCTTGAATGCCTGCTCTGAGTTCAGCCCTGTTGGTACCCTGGTGGGCGCATGGCGGGGGACAGGGGGAGGGACAGGGTGGGGTTTAGGGCTGTGCTGTTGTGTTCAAGTGGCGATGGTGCACACGAAGCCGCGTTGTTCACACAGTATCACTCCCCATTCCTATACAAACACTGCTCTTGCTACCCACCCACCCACCCACCCACCCACCCACCCATCCACCCGCCGTGCCCCGCGGTGCCACCTACTCCACGGGGATGGCATGCGAGTTGCTCGCCTCCTGCCCCAGCCCGCCCACGCCCTGCATAGAAAACTGCCGAAACGCGCCGCCCGCAGCAATGGCAGGCAGCATGGAGAGGCGCGAGAGCGCGGGCAGGGCGGTGTGCCACGTGCCGAGGCCAAAGCGGTCATTCAGGCCGAAGCAGTCGGAGCCGAAGGGGATGGTGTAGGCGTGCAGGGGGAAGGCGGAGAGCGGCGGCAAGGGGCGGTGCCAGAAGGTGTCGACTCGCGTGCGCAGCAGCCAGTCGAAGGTGATGGCGTGGCGGCGCTCGTAGGCGCGCATGAGGGGGATGCACCCCTCCACGAGACGGAAGTACTGCAGCATGCCCTGGCGTGATGGAGAGGGAGGGACACAGACGCAGTGCATGGGTGGGTGGGCAAAAGTTTCACAATCAAGTATAAACGCAAAGCGACCGCAATGCGCACAACACTTGAGACCGCAAGGTTGTAAACAAGCTCGTTTTCCCAGGTGAGGTGGTGGGTAGGCAGCAGCACTGGTACACGGGATGTTGCTTGTATGCAGGCAGGCGAGCATGCACATGCAGCCACACGAGTTGCACCTCCAATGCAGCCCCCATCACCCGCCCACCTGAGTGCCGTGTGGCGAGGAAGGGTCCTCCACCACCCCCGGCGGCAGGGCGCTCTCATTCACCCACGTGCTGGGGAACACGCGCACCGCCCCCACGGCCACGCCGCGCCGCGCAGCCCAGAGCAGCGGCCAGAGCTTGAAGGAGGCGTGGTCGAGGGGCGCGTGCAGGAAGAGCACGGGGCGGTGCGGCAGCAGCGGCAGCAGCAGGCGCTGCACGATGGACGGGCCCGTGAGCTCGAAGTCGCGCGCCCCGCCCACGAGGCACACCGCCACCCGCCACAGGTGGGCCGGCTTGGCTGCCACCTGCCGGAGGGAAGGGCCCGTGCCGTGCGTGATGCGACCGACGGTGGACAGGCGGGGTGAGGGTGGCACGGTGAGAACGGGCGTGCGAGGGGGCAGCGCAGGTGCGTGACAGGGTAAGGAAGGGAAGGGGGGAGATAGAGGAAGGAGAGGAGGAGGAGGGACGCTGAGGAATTTGAGAGGATAGAGAGGAGGGGTGGCATGGTGTGGTGCAGTGAGTGAGTGAGGTGCGTTGCTTCACCTCACCTGCTCCCCCGTGTTCTCGTTCCCTCTCCACGTGTCATCCCCTCCCATCTCACCCTGCTGCGCCGCGCCATCATCAGGGACAGCAGCAGCAGCAGCAGCAGCAGCAGGAGCAGCAGGAGCAGGAGGGATGTCAAACAACACGTCTTCATTGCTGCCTGCACCCTCTGCTTCCCCCAATGCTGCTGCTACCTCCACACTCTCCTTAGCCTCCCTCCACCCAAACCCCCCTGTGTTGCTCTCCGACCCTGCCGCGCCCTCCCCCTCCTCCCACGCACCACCTGCCTCATCGCCTTCCATACCCTCTCCCTCCTCCTCCGACCCGTCTGCCCCGCCCTCCTCCGCCGAATATGGCCCCATGCCATGTGACCCATCTGCGACATGTGACCCATCTGCGACATGTGACCCATCTGCGCCATGTGACCCATCCGCGCCCTCTGGCTCATCCGCGCCCTGTGACCCATCCGCGCCCTGTGGCTCATCCGCGCCCTCTGGCTCATCCGCGCCCTGTGGCGCAGCTGCATTGCCATCATCACCCAAGTCCCCCCCTTCCTTCTCCCCCACTGCTCTCTCTCCCTCGCTCCTACCCTCACTCCCCTTGCCCTCCGCCTGCTCCAATTCCCCCTCATCCCCCGCACCCCCCTTCCCCCCATCACCCC